CTTGATCAACCCACTACTTTAAATTTTTATCCTTTTCAGTTGACTCCAACCATAGACCACCATACCATCTATAGTTGGTGCAACTGCTGCCGCTCAGTGACTTCATGAGTTACCCATATATCGAGCTTTTTGACTTGTAGGATGTTCTTTAAATGGAAAATTGTAACTGTGGCTGCAGTATTCAGTTGTACTGAGAGTCCACGTAATAGTTTTTCTTCCACAGTAAGTTTTTGGGAAATTCGTCGTAAATTAATAATGGAGGTCTTCCTCTGCTGAATGACCGAATTTTAAATAAATCCAATGTATTTATCAGGTATACTAAAGAGTGTAATTATTTTGGTAACTATTCAATACAAACAAAAAATAAATAATAATCTGCAAACATGTTTATTAGCAAACAACCGAAAAAAACGATCTTCGATTATAATTTTTGCAATTTTTTCCTAATTAATTCTTATCTTTGTAATAAATTAACGAACATCGATTTATGGATAGGAAGATAATAAAGGCTCAAGTCTATTTGGTACTGGTGGTCACTAGCTCATTATCAGAGACTTTTAATGATAATTTTTAAAGAATGAATCATGAACCCTTGACCCCCATTGTGCCTAGCTGAGAAATGTATGTATGATGTCTCGATCAGTTCATTATCGCTAAAAAAAGAAGCGAATTCTTTATATATCTTTTAACAATTTTTCGTTATTATAAATATTTGGAAACATCGATAATTTTTTGTTGTTAAAAAATAGGCTTATTCTCACTTTAATACAGTTTAATGAAATTTACTTTTGGCCATATAAGTAAACAGTATTGTTATTAAGGTCTTTTCAGAAATTGTGTTAAAAATAAATTAACTTTAATTTTTATGCTTTATTTTTATAAATTGAGTTAAAATAGGTTAAGTACGAAACCGAAGTTGCAATTGTCTTTAAAACAGGCAGATATGCAATATTTTATTTTATTGCATGTTTTGTATGCGATGTTGTCAGCCGTGGCTTTATATAGCTTTTATTTAAATTCGGAGTTTCCACAAACATTTGTGCTGTTTTGCGCGGAAGTGGACCAGGAGCTACAAAACTTTTACGAATGATGCAATCTTTTTCTTTCTGGTTCGTTGTTTGATGAGTGTTGATAAGAAAACTCGACCGATTGAAGGATAATCCAATGAATATTCCCTTGTGAATAAATGTGAATCTATTTAAATAATCCTAACACCGTAAATCTGCCCTTTGGCCATGTTTGCCTACTTCCAAATGGTAGATCTTTTTGAGTTGGCTCAGTCGGGCGATAAATTTGTTATTCTGGCCGAAATATACACAGCTTTGATAAACCGCAGAAATGTTCTCTTAAAGCATACAACTCAAGGCAATATGTATTACGTCAGACCGAGTCAACAATTAATGAACTAGGTTTAGAACTTTATTGGGATTCGAATCCCAGCAGCCGCTGCTTCGAATTATATACTATAGGTGACACTATATAAAAAATCCACTAAACCTCTTTATTTATTGTAAATATTTCTAAATAAAAATTAAATAATAATAAGTAAAGTTGGCCAAAAAATTTATTTAAAAAACTATTGGGTTCGTTTTAAACACCGCAGGATCGTATTAAATGAGATAAGATATATACAAGTCACGAAAACCAAAAGACTCTTTCCGTAGTTTGCCATATTTTTTGTGAAAAAATAATTCGTGTTCGGAATTTTTTCAAAAATTATAGATATCGTATGATAACTTTGAAACGATTCCACCGATCCACAGGGGTGTAGAACTCCTTAAATAAATAAGTTCGGGAGATATAAAATAAAGATATGCGGAGTTTTTATTGATTTCATCCTTATTGTTGTCATTTGGAATAATATAAGATGTAATCTTTGTTGACATAGGCCGAACGGAGAGACGTTAATTTTTCAACGGCTGTAATAATGTTGGATTTAGATAAAATCCAGAGGAGTTATGAATTTTAAAGTGGAACAGAAAATAAAATTGCCCTTGGCAAACCCGTCCAAATGTCTACTCTCTTAATAATACTTTAAAAATTCATACTTAAGGGATTTAAAGTGCTTAAACAAAATTGATGTAAAAAAAATGAATAAAAATAAAAATAAATAAAAAAATAGTCTACTTGACTGGAAGATTTTGGCTTTTGTAACTTTATATATCTAATCTCATTTAATTATTATTTTATTATCATATTAATATGTTATTATTTATCATTATTGTTTATTAACATTATTATCCTAATACGATATATAATAACACTAAAATACACGCAAAATGAAGGAGTATGGTATGAACTTTCCGATACGTGTCTTAATATTTTTCGAACATTATCACCAAAAAAGTTTTCAATAAACTCTGTGATTCTACGTCCGTAGCCATAAGTGTAAATCACTTTTGGCAGTTAGTTAAGATATTAAAACGTTGTAATTCATGATAGTTTCAGCAAGAAATCAAATCTTGATTTTCTTGACTCTAACTGTCTACAGTCACTGTTTGAGCTTCGAAATTCTTTCTTTACTCTCACGACAATTTAGTTGTCATTTAAGGTTTAATTGATACCGTTGATAATCCACGGAAGTTACAATAGAAAAACGACGTGACCTTCAAATGTTTCAAGAATTGTCGGTTTCTTAAAGGTAAAAGCTGGTTTTTGAACGATGGAAACAACCTTTTGTCATAGCTCCGCGTCATTTCACGGCCAATTTGTATGATTACGATGCGCAGATGGATGCAACGCCGCATTTTAAAGGCCGGAAATTGTTCGGTATAGATTGTCGCAAGTTTGTACAACTCCGAAAAACCCGAGAGACTTTTGACGTTGTAATCCCCATTTTTATAATTTCTTCTGCCTACTCCATTGAATTTACCAATTTCTTCGCCTTTGAAATGCTACGCCTTACTTTTGGAACGTTAATATTTTCGCCTGGGGTATTTTTAATTTTCCTACGGCAGAAGTTAAGTAAATTGAAATACTTTTTCCCTCCCTTTATTGGAATACTGTAAACATGCTTAAAAGTGTAGCTTGATCGTTCCCGCTTTTTGGTTTTCCTATCCTCGCCGTTTTGGTCTGTCAGTCGTATTTGGACAGAGGTGGATTGGTGTCTTACCTCACTCTGCTTACAACGGCCTAACAGACCAAAACGGCTAGGATAGACAGTCCAAATGTTCGGAAACGACTAGGCTACAGTTCATCAACCTGCAAACCTCAATAAGAACAGTTAATCAATGAAAGATTTAAGACTTTAAGATTAAAGACTAACTATAATTTGTAATCTGCGTTTGCCTAGATGATTTTTGTGAAGTCCAGTTTCTTTTAAAAAATAGTGAGATGTTTTTTGTCAACTTATCTTTCTGTTTCGGTATCTTGGGAGGATTAAGTACGGGTTTTTATTTAGTTCAGGTTTTCCAGACCCAGTACTGAAGATGGCGAAATGTCGAAATTCGTCTGACAGATCCATCGAAGGTAAGCATACGAAAATCATTGATAACGACCAAATTATAAGTTCATCGACCCGCAGACAGCAAAGAGAAATCTCGCAATTCAAACTCTGTTTGGCCTGAATTCAACCACTGTGGGTGCATACCTCTCAACAAGATAAACAACGAGATTAGGCGAACTATGATCGAAAACAGTCCAATGAACGTTAACAAACTATACAATGTTCTATAATTAGTTAAATGATATGCAGCCATTTCATTAGTCATCTGGACCAAAATAATTTTTTTTTATCATGACAAATTGAGGATTGATCTATTCAAAAGTTAATTTTAGGAAGGGTTTAGAAGAATGGTTATTTAAAGATCGAGAGATGCGGTCTGTTGTGATGTGGGTTTAGAAAAGCATTTTCTTTATCGTGAGGTTCTACACTTTGAATCAGTACAAAATGCTTTGATTAAACGTAAAATTTCTACATTCTATTGTGTACATTATTGTATAAATTCATTTTCACATCTTATATGTATTTGTATAATTTAAACAATGTTTATAAATCCCAGGCCCTGAAGATGATCTCAATAAAGATCGAAACTTTGGCACGTAAAGAAAATGTTTTTCTAAACCCATATCACACCACACTTCATCTCACGATCTCTAAATAATCATTAACTAACGGTCAATAAACAGCACACATTTAGGAAGAATCCATTACAGTTCGTGGTCCGATTGACTAATTAATTGTAAAAAGGTTAATTGTTCAATCGGCCCACGAACTATAATGGATTTAATGATTAAACTGAAGTATATCTTCACAAAATCTCTCCGTGGCCATTTCATTTGTCGCCGAGAATCAAATAGATTACACGAAATTTGAAAAATGGCAAAAAGGAGGGAAAATTCGAGCGGTGGTGTGGTTTGGGATAGTTAATGTGAGATGGGAAGTTAGTGTCCGAGTAGATCGAAGTCACGATAGCTCAAGTGGTAGAGCAGGAGCATATTTAGGGGAAGGTCGTGGGTTCGAATCCCGCTTGTGACACTGATTTTTTTATCTCAACCAATACCTTTCATAAATATTAATTAATTGAAAAATGTTAATTCGCCAATCGGGCCACGAACTGTAATGGATTTAATAATTAAACTGAAGTATATCTTCACAAAAGCTCTCCGTACCCATTTCATTTGTCGTCGAGAATCAAATAGATTACACGAAATTTGAAAAATGGCAAAAAGGAGGGAAAATTCGAGAGGTGAGGTTGAGATGGGAAGTGACGTCCGAGCGGATGACGTCACGATAGCTCATGTGGTAGAGCAGCGGCGTATTTAGCCGAAGGTCGTGGGTTCGAATCCCGCTCGTGACGCTAACTTTTTTATCTCCACCAACACCTTTCATAAATATTAATTTAGAAAGAATATTCACTTTATCAGTATAATAAAATAAGTTTTTATGTTACTTTCATTTTTTAAATATCTTTCAACGTTAATTATTGTGCCCTGGTCAAGCTATATATGCCAATTAACGATTGATAACAGGAAATGTTTTATGGCAATTTTTATTTCAGCAAGATCACATCGTACTCCCAGGGCTTGAAAACAATACGGGTTTTGCTCAAGTTGTGCGAAAACCTCATCTCTTGGTCCGCCCATGATAGTCTTTTCTCACACGAAAGTAGTGCTATGGAGCTTATTAAAACAACTGATGACCCAGTGAACCAATACCCATTCTACAGTCATCTTCTCGGCTTCCAAGTAAGTCCTTCCTATCTTATGAAAACCTATTAAAGATTTTATAGAAGTTACTATTATTTAGTATATAATCTTGGTCTTCGTGTAAATATACTAAATATTCATTTACAAATTATCTCAATGTAATGGATATCATCTTAAACAGCATAATTTTATTATATTTAAACAAACTAATTGATAGGGCTTATTTGAAAAAAAAGAGAAAAAAACTCAGTTACTTCCTCAAGCTTGTGATGAAAATACACCTTCATCAGAACTTGGAAACTATTTTTAATAATTATAAGGTGGAAAAATATGAACATTTACTTACAATATCGAAACTTTTGGTTTCCAACATGTGAATGTTTAAATATTCAAACATTAATTCGCTCCAATTTGCTCGCTGAAAGATGTTTATTTAGGCTCGCCGCAAATTGAACCCAGCCCTCGGACAGCACACGCCCAGCCCAGACGCGTGTTCTTCTGTGAAACGCAATTCCAGGTGATGTAGCGCAAATTGAACCCACTCCACGGCCAGCGCAGTTTGACTTCAACCACCCGTGGTTCGTTTGCGAGAGCCGCACAGAATTCGTGTGTCCTTCACATCGTGGGTTTGCCGTAATGATGGAACGTGACGAAAGTTTAATTGAAATTGTGCGGGATAATCCTGTATTGTATGACACAGTTGCATTAGAAACTTCACTCGGGATCGTTATAGCCCCTATAGATAATTCTGATATATAATTCAGTGGTTAATAAAGCAGTAATGATAAATCAATTAATTGTGCCTGTCTCCTTTTTTTCTAATTCACAATCAAAGCACCCTTGAAAATGTTTACCAAATTCCATTCCATTTAAACCTACGCACTAGTTGGTATTTGGGAAGTAAGTCTAAAATAATAGTAGTAATATTATTTAGTATAACATTAATAACAAACATTCTTACCTTAGGGATACGGCCAATTTTTCTTCGTCGAACTGCCGGAAAGAACCCCTAAATACGTTTTCTGGAACTTCCTCAGATACCAAATACTAACAGCACCTAAGTAGGCACTTCTTTTATTTTTAAAAAAAATTTTTGGATAACAAACTCAATAAAACAAAGTCTTCAGTTTCGGACTCAGATTCTAAATTTAGAAGTATTTGCCAAAAAGAGGACATCGTTACCAGGCCTTGACCTTTGCATGGTCCCTGGACATTCGGGACATAGAGGTTGACAAGCTGGCCAAAAAAGGGAGCCAACATGAACTCTATGGACTCAGTACCCTACTGCGGTCTAGCAACCTGCCACAAATGAGGATACATCTTAAAATGGATCCTTAATGAGTCCAAAACCTGTGGAACAATACCGCAGGTTTGAGGCACGCGAAGAGATTCCTAGGACCATCCGCAAAACTTACAAAATATCTACTGGAAGGCAACCGCAACCGAACCAGGATTCAGGTTGGACTCCTGACGGGGCACTGCCACTTAAGAAAGCACATGCACCAGATAGGAGTACAGACAGAAGAAATACTGTAGATACTGCCAGGAAGAGGAGGAGACCGCAGAACACATCGTATGTTTCTGTGAAGGTCTATGTAGGTGAAGGTTCTTGAAACTAGGACAAGAAAAACCACAAGTAAGATCCTATACCATGGAACCGCTGGCAAAGGTGTGGAGGCTGGTTAATAGCCTGAAGCTGGCCAGTGAGTTCTAATTAATAGAGTAGCACAATAGATCTATTTAGATCGAGGTGCAGTAGGCCTTGAGGCCGCCCCTCTTATCCCTATCCCTATCCCTATCCCCTACTGCCTCAGTACTAGGTTCAATGTGCGGTACCTCGACAAAATGTGGTGTATCGTGGGATGGGTTGTGCATTGGGCGAGACGTTGCTGTCCGTGGGCTAGGTTCAATTTGCCACGGACAAGACGATTGAGATTTTGCAAAAGTCCTATTTTTTCTATTTATTAATACCTATTGGGTTGTCCGGAAAATAATGCAGGATTTTGGTATTAAACAAAAAAAAAAAANTACAAATGAGTAATCCTGTAAACGTAAACAGAATATTTTATATAGATTTTTTTTAATGAAAACTTAAAATCCTGCATTATTTTCCGGACAACCCAATAATTGTACGAAAGAAACAATGTCCTCACTTATTGCTAAATCGTAATTTATAATATAGATACTTAATTGATAATAAGCCAAATCTAACATTTTAGCTCAACATTAGATCACTATAAAAGACCAAAAATTCTAACGCATATGAATATTTCATTAAATTAACAATCACCCATCATTTAAGTACATTTGTATTCGGTGTAGAGTGTATTTCGGTTAAAGTATTAAAGTTAAAAACTCTAAAGACTGGTGTTTTAATTGGCCACCTTTTAAAAAATTCATCACGAAAGAAATCTCGCCAGGTCAAGGAAATAACCAGGTTAGGGCAAGAGATTGACTGTCTTCTTGTGTCAAACTCGAACGATGAGCAAGGTCGTTTAAACTGTTTTATTCAATTACATTATTTCATTATTTGGAACTGGAAGTACTTCGTTTAAAACATGTTTTTTTTAATTACATTTATTTGATATTTACAACTACAAGTGATTTATTAAGTAAATATGTTCGTATATGTTGAATTATCATTTAAGGCTCTTGTAGGAGAAGTTTCCCAGTGGTAACACTCCTTCACACTGATATCTTGTTTTGTCTTCACTCAATGGGAAGGTTTCGGGGCCACTTTTATTTCAATCGTCTTGGAGGATTTTCAGGTAGGGTTGTAAGTGATAAATGTCACGAATAGATTACGGTGTGTGTTCAGTGATTGATGTAATTTTTTATAGCGGGTTTTGATGAGTTCATGAACAAACGGGATGTGTAGATCGTTATGAATAGTGTAATTTGAAACGTAAAAAGGAGCATTTATAATTTGACGGAGAATTTTAGATTGGATTGATTGGAGACGCTGGGAATTGGAATACTTGGTTGAGCCCTACACCTCACAACCGTACGCCCAGAGAGGTCTAATCATTGTTTTATAAATTAAAAGTTTGTTTTCATTGTCTAATTTTGATCGTGAGTCAAGTAGTCTTTTTAACAATTTAGAACGTCGGTTTGTTTGCTGTCTTTTCAGTCTTGTGTGGGGATTCCAAGTTTTCGTTTATCCAGGAAAAGTCCAAGATAACGCACAAGGTCAGTGGTAGGCAATGGAATTCCATTTATACTCACCGCAGGACAGACATTTTTACGAAAGGTAAAATTTATCTGTGCGCTTTTCGTTAGGTTTATCTTTATTCTCCACTTTATGAACCATACTGTTAATTCATTCAGGTGTTGCTGTAAGTGGTGAGTGTAAATTGAGGGGTCCGATTTACGTGTAAGAATCGCTGTATCATCAGCGAATGTGTATGTCGAAATGTTACCATGTGTAGGAATATCTGCAGTGTATATGGAAAATAGAAAAGGGCCAAGTATGCTTCCCTGAGGAACACCCGCCCTAATGCGTATATAAGGTGAGAATTCAGTTCCCTGACGGACTCGACAAAATCGATCCGTCAGATAAGATCTCAGTATAAGATAGTACGTATGAGGGAGGATGTTCTTCAGTTTCCAAAGCAAATTTAAAACATGTACATTAATTTATCGACTTGTTGGATATAAAGCTACGGCAGCAGCTAAGACAGGCTGTTTTCTTGTGGCAAACTCGAACGATGAGCAAGGTCGTTTAAACTCTTTTATTCATTACTTTATTTCATTACTTTGAACTTGAAGTACTTCGTTTAAAACTTCATGTACATTGCTTTATCGACTTTTTGGATATAGCTACGGCAGCAGCTTAGTCATTTGTAAACATCTCTTAAGTACACATTTCACAGTTCGGAGAAATGGTGCAAGTAATGTTACAATTGTGGACGATAACAAGGCATTCAAACAAATCCAGATATACAGGCAATCTGTCAGCATCAGTCTAAATACTTCTGAGGTTTGTCTTGAAGGCTGGCGTCCAAGCATTTTATTGCACCAATAATTTCCATGTAAGACAATTTCTTTATCTACTTAATTCGCTCTTGGTCTTGTGTTCCAATGGAAATTCTGAAGGCCACGATTTTAAAAGATTCTTTCATGGGTTAATAGTTAAAAATGGGTGGGGGGTAATGGACTTCAACCATTGTTGTTTCACCGTCAGACCTGACCTTGTTTGGAAGGAAGTTATTAATTTTCTGTAACATCTAATTTACAATCTGGTATGCCTAATAATAATATAGATAAAGTGAGTGGATGACAACCAGAAATCTAGTAGAAAATATTTTGATATGATTTTTTTAAGGAACGTATGTTCGTGAACCAAACGTCCAGTAATTAGAGTTTGATGTAAGGCTATTTTAATTAAATATTTATGTAATTCTTGAATTTGGCATTTTCCCCATGTAAATGATAAAATATTCAAGGATAATAAAAAATTTATTTTATAAAGAGCAGTTTTGTTGAAAAGTTGAATAATTCCTCTTCTTTTTAAACTCCTTTCAGAGAGGAAAACGTAACTAATTGCCTCGACTTTGTAATGTAAGATTTTTGTTTCAAACTTTACATTACTCCTTGTTTTTTCTTCCAGTTCTGTGATTCCATTTGTACAATATTCAAAGCCCTGAGCATCTTAATGGCGTCATTCAGTGAAATGTATTATGGAAATGGGATTACCGATATTTTCAAAAGTACGTACAAAATACTTGTTTCGAGGAGTGGTATGCATTTAATTAAATTTATTTTTAATTTATTTCAGCTGGGAAATATCTCTTAGACCCTGATGTTAGGTCTAAACGTATTGTTAACATCTCGCAATATGCCTCAGCCTTGTTTTGTAAACACTTCTGGTACCTCGGGGAAATGGGTAATTATCCATTTACGATTTTCTGTGCATTTGGGGAGGAAATGGTAAAAACTGGGGAAAACGTTGGTATGAATGAAATATGTTACATGTAAACTATGATGGTAACTTGTTATTTGAACCAACAACCCATCAGGAAAGCCAACATCAGTAATGTTCGCATGCATACATAGCTTAAGGTGGATCATTTATGAAACCAATGCAATTCTGGATTAAATGATGTTATAAATGGAAGTGCTGCTAAAAATATTATTTCGGTTTTTAATCAATTGTTTTTTCGTCAATTTAATCAAATTAATTGTGAAACTCTTTAGTGTGGAAATTCTTTAAAATATTGTTTGTCGTGGAATCAGGGATTGTCCAAGAAGAAAAAACACTGCACCTTAAAACAGAAAAAGTATGTTTAGCTTGACTGGAAAAACAAATGCTCGCACTGGGGTTGCTTCGTACTGAATGCTGTATCTCTTTTGATTTGTCTTAACCGTTTCTCTTCTTTTATAGAAATGTATCAATTCTTTGCAGAATTGATGGTCAGATTTCCAAGCCTGATCGCGACCAATTTGGCAATAAACGAGGAAATAGTTCTAGAGCCGAACCCACTTCAAATACAAAATTTGAACGGTGATATAATAGATGTTCCAGTCCCGACGTCGCACATCGGATGCAAAAATTTACATTTAAGGTTACTCTCAGCGTCGAAAAGATTCGGACCTGTTAGTCACGTGTGTTTACAGTAAAGGTCGGTTTATAATTAAATATAAATAACACATTCATATTTTAGGTCGGTTCTTCCTGGTACTCTGGGAGCAAGTTTCCTTCTCGAGATTTAATTTTCCACTGTCATGGAGGCGGTTTTATATCCCAGAGTCCGAGAAGCCATGAAACCTATTTACGTCAATGGGCTTTAGAAATTGATTGCCCGATCGTCTCCCTTGATTATTCTTTGGCTCCCGAGTCGCCTTTTCCAAGAGCGGTTCAAGAAGCGTTTTTCGCTTATTGCTGGATGCTGCAAAATTTGTCACTTCTCGGATCAACCGGAGAAAGGATTGTACTCGCAGGTTATACTCAATTATTCGGTTTGTTTGCATTGCCAGTTGTTTGAATTTTTAATTTCAGGCGATTCCGCCGGAGCGAACATCAATTTCAGCCTGCTTCAACAGTGCAGGGAATACGGCATAAGACCACCCGACGGTGCTTTCTTCGCCTATGTACCAGTATTAATCGAGTTTATTCCATCCCCTTCACGCCTTCTCAGCTTGATCGACCCACTTCTTCCAATTGGATTTTTAATCGGTTGTATAAAGGGTAAATTTATCTCAACTCTACCTTTAATTACCATTTGTCTACTGTTAACGTGGGTATTTTCAGCATATGCCTGCTCGCCGGAAGTTTTTCAGAAGTCTTTGGAAAATGAATACAAACTTCGCCCAAACAAAGAAAACACAATATATAAAACAAATGAAGAATGTCCTATGAACTGCAATGGAAACGGTAAGAATACAAATTGATAATACTAATTATAATAGACAATTTTACACAAAATCAATATGACACCGTAAGAATAGTAACACACTTCATGACCTGATTACAACACACAAATTATTAAAGAATCTGTCATTAAAAAAAAAAAACTTATGTTAAATATATATAAAGTTTTTTAAAAGTATAGTCCTTAAGTTCAATTGTCAATATTTGAAGAAACAAACTCTTGCAATGAATTGTATTTATTATTAAACTGCCAAACTTGCAATATTAAAAAATAAATAAATAAAATTAAAAAAACACATTATAATAAATCTATATAAAGTTATTTAAAAGTATAGGCCTTAATTTCAATCGAATAAATCAATATTTGAAGAAAAACTCTTCTAATGAATTGTATTTATCATTAAACTGCTCAACTTGCAATATAAAAAAATAAATAAACTAAATAAAAAAAAACACATTTCAATAAATGTATATAAAGTTCTTCAAAAATATAGTCCTTAATTTCAAGTGAATGAATCCACATTTGAAGAAAAAACCCTTCTGATGAATTGTATTTATCATTAAACTGCCCAACTTGCAATATTAAAAAATAAATAAATAAAATTAAAAAAACATTCTAATAAATGTAGATGAAGTTCTTTAAAAGTATAGTTCTTAAATGCAATTGAATAAATCAGTATTTGAAGAAAAAAAAACCTTCTGATGAATTGTATTTATCATTAAACTGCCCAACTTGCAATATTAAAAAATAAATGAATAAAATCAAAAAAACATTCCAATAAATGTAGATAAAGTTCTTTAAAAGTATAGTTCTTAAATTCAATTGAATAAATCAATATTTGAAGAAAAAAAAACCTTATAATGAATTGTATTTACCATTAAACTGCACAACTTGCAATATTAAAAAATAAATTAAATAAAATGTTAACAATGAACAGTTGATGCTGCTTTTGGTCCGAGAGACGGTGAACTCATATCGCGGGTTTGTTGCACTACTCAAACCTGCGAGTGAAGACTATGCCAATAGGTGATCCAATGCCGGCTCAGCAACAGTTAACAGTTGTTCAATCAAACGAACAAACGCGCAATTAATAGTGATATTAACCATAATTAACAAGATAAGTTCTAGAAACGCGTATTCTCTTTGGCTGTAGTATTTTGGTAAAAAAAATGAAACGATATTATTTTGAAAAAGTATTTATCATCAGATTACAACAATATCAACATATATTTATTAGGTTTCGTGGTCCGCTTGACCAAAAAAATTCTTTTCAATTAATGAAGATTAAATTCAATTAATTAAAATTTCAATAAATTATTTATCTCAACCAAAACCTTAATTAATTGAAAATATCAACTTATTAAAATAAATAAGAAATAGAGAAAAGATTTGCTCATTTTCATATCAAACAAGAGAACAACAAATGAGCGAGATAATTTCTCAAAATAATCCAATTCAAGTTATTGGAAATTATTGTTTATTATGTACGCAGACATCTATGTTTGTGGTGATGTATATATATGTATTGTATGTTTTGTTTCTATTCTGTATTTGTCAACCTGAGGTACAAACGAGAGGCTAGGTTTTTAGAATATCGACCTGGTACACATGGTAAAATGGTAAAAGCAGAGATTCAGAAACTAGAGCGAGACGATCAAATGGCTGCAGTTTAAAATAAAAGCGCGAAAGAAAAGAAAAAGAAGGAAAACAGCTCGGCGATGCCCTCAACTTTTTGTCGGCCTATAAACTTCCCACTTATTGTTTACTCCAAGGATATTACACCCTTCGAATACGAGGGACCCATCGAACAACCTTTCTCTGCAAGCCGGACACATACGCGGCCTTTGGCCCAAAAATTAGGCATGCCAACTTTGCATGGCCTATTCTTAATCGTGTCAGGTTGACCCTTCTTCTACGAGTCAGCTCCTCCAAGGGTCACCAGTGCTGTTGATACATTAGAGCTTCTCTGCGACCCGGTTCATTGATGCTGCCATCTTTTTTTAATCATATTTTTTATTGCGTTTTTATCGTCAGAGGGCCGGATCGCGGTGGTCATGTCAGGAGATTGGGACGTTCGTCCTTATACGCCTCATGAGCCCGATGTTTTGAACAAAAAATTAACGTCTTGTAAAAAATTGCATTTATCTTTAATTTACAACTGCACATAACTTGAAATATTAACGTACAAATGATACAAAATTAGGCAAGGAAACAAATTAATTAATAATGCAAAACTAACAACAATTAAATTATTGGATATCATAGTTTTCCTTAATAAATTAATAAATGTCCAGTACACAACAATCCATAAAGACCTAAAATAAATGTATTTTATCCATGGATCACTACTATACATAACTTGAAATATTAACAAATAAAACAAAAACAGGCAATAAACTCTAAAATAAAACAAGCCAACAAAAAATCACAATAATAATAAAACAAAACAGTCCATTACAAGGTCTTATGAATAAATAATTACTCAATATTTTGAAATGAATTTAACTGGTTTATCGTTTGATCACATAAATACACAACTTATAATACTACACACAAAAGAAAACAGAAAAAAAAGACAGCATATGACTTGTTTACATCAGAAAGATTAAAGCGTTAATTAAAATAATAATACCAATATGCTGAATACAATTATATTTGAAAGAATGGAAAAAGGCTGAAGTTTTAGAAAAAATTATTACACTTCGTATTGCTTAAAAATTTTATATGGCACATTCAAAATATTGAAATTTTCCATTTGTTTAAATTTTTTAAAGGCCAATTGTTTCGTGATGTTCAATCATATTTAATTTCCCTTGGTTGCATTTAAAGCCCTAAAACTATGCTCAGGCTGTTTTCCTTTTAAAAATGATTTTACGTCTGTTTCCAATACCCAAACATAACCGTAGTTTGGAACTGCAGCCATTGCATTTTTTTTCGCATCCCCCAGGTCCAGGACGGAAATGTGCTCGCCGTCAAGGGGGTTTCTCGTATCCCAGGATAGAACTTCTTTTTCACCAGCTAGCCTGAAGATTATTTCATAGCCGGCAGATCCAAGGAAGACCATTCTCGGGTCTTTCCTTCCGACGATTTTCACAATGCCGCCTTTCCTCAGGCCGCTTGTCTCGATGTAAAATAGCTCGGAACCTCCGAAATAAGTGAAGTATAATCTTGACCCGACCAAAGATGTGTACAACACCTGTTCAAACAAAAAGAAAAATTAAAGAAAATATTTAAAGGTTGATTTAAAAAAATCAAAATAGAGATAAGATTGACCGAATTTGATCAGCTGTACAAACGTAAATATATGATAGCTATTTTAAATCCATTTTTTAATTATCCAATCTTTCAAAGCTTATCTTTAAGATAATTTTAATCGATGTACGTTTTATTGCAAATAACAAATAATGTGTTACCTTTGGTCTGATTTTCGGCATTGTCCGTTCAGGGAGAAGAACCCTATGCCCTTTATTTGCTTTAACATCCCAGACTGCAATGCTCCTCGAAGGACCATCGCTCACATACAAAAATCTGGTTCCAGATTTAGTTTCCTCTATGGAGAGATATTGAGCGCGTCCAGGAACCAAATCACCAAGATTAATGATTTGGTTTATCTGTAAATTTAATAAAAAGTTAATCCGTTGATTAGAGAAAGTGGCAAATAAGGTCAGTACGATAATACGGCTGTTAAATTCTGTGTTATATCCATCTAAGATAAGGAAAGTTTAATGAATTGTATGTTCTTTATCAGAAATTCTGATAAAATATTTGATATATTCCCTCTCTCTTTCTCACTGTCTTTTCTTTTTTATTCCTTCTTTTTTCTTCTCGTTTTTAATCGTTATCCTTCTTCTCTTTCTGTTTATCCTCTTTTCTGTTTGTTTTTTAAAATCTTTATTCTTCTTCCTTTTCTCAGCCACTTTTTTTTCCTCACCGATATCACTGTTGCTTCTCTTACTTCCTATCTTTTCTCCTTCTCTTTCTCTGTCACAATTTTTTCTCTGTGTGTGTGTCTCTCTCTCTCTCTGGGCTATTTTTATTTCTATCTCTTTATTCCCCTTTTTTTTATTCTTCTCTTTCACTTTCTCTGACTCTTTCTTTTTCTATTCTTTATTCTTCTCTTTCTGTCACATTTTTTCTCTTTCACTCCATTCTTCATCTATCAATCTGTTTATTTAGTAGAAATGATAAAAACCATTGCGTATATATCTAGCTAGTGTTCTGTGTGTTCTGTCTAACGTTTTTCTTAGTAACCCATCTGTCCATCTAGCTCATTCTTCCATCTGTTTTATTAGTAATAAATCATTTCCCCTCAAAAAGTAGTGAACATTTATAATTACTAAGTATTTTAAAATTATCGTAACGAAATACCGCTCGATAATCCTTGTCAATAAAAAGCTGGCCGAAATAAACGTAAAAATCAATTGATTGAATGATGTATGATTAATTGAAAACTATTCTTCAGAATTTTTTTTTATATGTAGAATAACAATTCTGTGGTCGAAGTAAACATTTAAAACATTCGAGTAGGTATTGTTTTCCATAAATCTTTTTGAAGACGGAAACTGTCTCAGGATGGGCCTTTACAGCCGATACGCTATCCGTTAATGGCCCTCTACTTCGAAATAACGGTAATCGGGAAGTACATTATAACTGATTGGTCCAAATTATCTTGGACTATTTTCTGAAGTTGATTGGGTTTAATGCACAATTTCTCATTAAAATAATTCATTACATATGATTTATGATATATTTAATAAATTCATTCAAAATTTCCTTTTTTTATTTTGTATAATTATTAATCGTTCCAACCTACCAATCCTTCAACCACGGTTTTTTTCTTTCCTTCATCAATTTCTTCATCTTTCAGAAATGTAATTAAAAAAGCAATTGCACCAATAAAAAGGATATAAAAGGGAGTACGTTTACTGAATTTTGCTGGTTTCTAAGGTTTGAAATAGTATATTAAAATCACCATAGTACGTTTTTCAACTTTGAAAAAAAAAAATTTTTTTTTTCAAAGTTCTTGCTACTAAAACACTTGTTTCACGAACGTTTACAAGTTTAATTTTGATCACATCTTATTTGAAATTTAGCGTAGTTTTCAATGGTATCAACGGATTTGTCCAAAACCTTTTACTTTTGGAGTTAACATTGTTTATTTGAAGCAAGGTCGTGAAATCTTAAAAAATCAGAAAAAGCGGAATAACTCCGAAACTGTTGAGATTCGGACCATAGTTAATTAGGACTTTTTGGTTCCATTTTGAATTTATAATCTACTGGCAAGTTTGTAACACGAGTAGCCGAACACCCTGTATATTTAAAACGTGCAATTTCCCCCTGAAATACTATGCGTGTGTTTCGGTTTGATAGGAGTTTTAATTTTAAAATTATTATAGAAAATTTGAAACTGGCAAACTCGACTGATGGTAGTATTTGTCTCTATCTAATACTGATTTATGTATAATTTTATTTAAAAAATTGCAAGCATATAAAATAAAAAAATGCGGGTATTTTCGGAAATTTTACCTGTTTTGATTACATGCTAGAAATAAGAAAATCCTTTGAATTTTTAAAAAAGAGTTATGATGGTTTACGATATTATTAACAACACTTTAATAGTAACGTTTATGCTTAGCGATAAAAGTGACTCTACGAAGTAAAATAATACCCAAACCCGGCAGTGAAGACGGAGAATACTAAAATCCATCTGACAAGACACAACGAGGATAGACGGACCAAAATGATAGAAAAGACGTATAAACAAGTTCGTTTAATTGTTGTTTTTTGTTTACGGTTAAAATTGATTAATTACGGCATCTCATACGCTTGTTTAACGAAAAAACGTAGACGTTGTTTTAACAATGACTTGCTTAGCAAACCATCGTTTGTATTGTATTATGTAACTACTGTTTATTAGTCGCGACACGGTTCGCTTTATTTGGTTTTTACTTTTTTCCGGATACGTCGGAAATTGCAAAATAATTGTAGGCTTGTCTGTAAGGACAAAAATTATTAAAACAACGATTTTAAAAACGTAGCAAGGTTTCATTTCGTACTTTCTTGGTGAATAATAGAAAAAACGAAAGAAAAATATTACATTCTTATTAAACATGTAATACATTCTTATCAAACAGAAATCTTAGTTTTTTTTCAATTTCCACCCATGTACACATAGCTTAGTATGTTACGTGTTAAACTTATGTTGCATCTCATCTTCTCTTACTCCAACTTAATTTAATTCTCCCTCATCCTATTGTTTCTATTCTTATCACATCTCTTGCTTTTCTCCTTTTCACACTGAATTTTATATATACTTTCTTTATCCCATATCTTCCTATAATTTTTTCCGTTTCGCATATCATTTTTTCGCTGAATTTATTATATTTTCTTTACTTCATCGGCTTTTCTTTTTTTTCTTTCAGTTTGCACCTTCTTTTCTCACATTATTTTTATATACTTTCTTTATCGTATGTCTTCATTTATATTTCGCATCTGTTTTTTTACGCACTATTTTGTATACTTCTCTTGTTTTTCTTGAGCTTCACATCTCCTACCACTGTAACTGATTTTAATTCTCCCCTGTCTATTTGTTTCTATTTCCATCACATCTCTCGCTTTTCTTCTTTTCACCCTCTATTTTTTAAATACTTTCTTTATCCCGTATCCTCCTGATGTTTTTTCCGTTTCGCATAGAATTTTTTCGCTGTATTTATTATATTTTCTTTACTTCATCGGTTTTTGTTTTTTTTCTTTCATTTTGCACCTTCTTTTCTCATCTTTTTCTATTTTTATATATTTTCATTATCGTATGTATAATGTATACTTCTATTTTCTATTTTGTATACTTCTCTTATTTTTCTTGTGCTTCACATCTTTACCACTTTAATTAATTTTAATTATCCCCTGTCTATTTGTTCCTATTTATATCACATCTCTCGGTTTTATTCTTTTTACACTGTATAACCTGTGAGTAAGAACCATCCTTTAGAAAAATTGAATCGACATACTCACCCCACCTTCATATTATTTCTATTTTTTATATAGTTTCTTTATCCCATATCTTCCTGTAATATTTTTCCATTTCGCATAGCACTTTTTTCACACTGTATTTGTTTATACTTTCTTTACTTCACTGGTTTTCCTTCCATTTTGCACCTTTTAACTATCACACTTTTTTATATGCTTTCTTCGTGGTATTTCTTTATTTAGGATATTTCGCATCTTTTTTAAACACTATTTCTTTCTTTTCTTTCTGTCTCATTTTCGCGAATATTATTTTTTGCAATCCTTCTATATCGTCCCTTTCTATCTTCCAAATCTAACTTTTACTTACCCACAGCACTATACATTTTTCTTCTCTCTTTAAGGTTCTTTCTTCCTACTTTCTTCGTTTCACGATTCTTTTTTTACCTGTGCTTTGTTATTTAACTCTTGTTAGTATGGGTTGTTTTTTATGTTGAACTAAACACCAATTTTTAATTGCTTGTGTTTTATTCGCAATGCATTTCGGGCTTCATCTCTGTCCTCTCTTCGAAGCTGTAATTTCACTTAAAAATAATGTAAAAAATGGATTTGAATTATTTTTTTAAACTTATTTTTTGACGGGGGATTGCAACTTCAAAGGCAATTTTACCCTCCGGGGTGCGGGTTGCTTTGAAAAGAGTGAAAATTGTAAGTTGGGTGCGAATTCAGGGCCGCCGGATTACAGTGACTTTACAGTGATAGTCCCGTGTCAATGCCGCGTTGCTGCCACCGACGCCCCTGAATTATTTCATTTCATTTTGGTTTCTTTCACATTTTGTTTGTTTTCCTCTACTATTTTTTTTACATCTTCTGTATCTAGAGTATTTCCTTTCTTTTTTTCTTCCTTGTTTATCTCACTTTTATTTTTCTATCTGTTTTTTTTCTGCTTCTGCATTTTCTTCTCATTATTATTTTTTGTACAAATTCTGGTAAAATATTTACGATTATATTAGCATATGTAATAACGTATGTGGATAATCAAAAAACCCTCATTTCCAACAATGTTTATTTGATAAAAACGTGCTTATTCTCACCTATTCGACTTTTTCCACTTGATTTCGTCCAGATGTTTACCAAATCGTCACGCCTTGCTTTTTATTTGTCATACTTTTCCGTTTCGATGAGGGCACTGTTCTTCTGGCTATTCTGACTTATCAAAACACCTATATTTCCTCATCTTTCGCACCGGTTTATCGCTTGGATATGCGAATAGATAAAGGCTATCAGGACGGTTTTCAAGTACGGCAAGCATGATCCCGATAACGTGTACCCATGGTCAATGACATTACTTAAACAGGAAACAAACCTTCATTGTAAAAACTAACAACTAAAATTTAATGTTTTATGTTTAACTATTTAAGAACCAATTTGAGTAATGTAATTGTAATTCCGAGTAACTTGTTTAAAACACAAAAACCTGAATATTGTGAGATTTCTTCTTGAGGTCTGAAGGGCAATTAAACCTTTAATCAACGGTAGGTTGATCGTTTTTCTCTATTTCACCAATAATTAGGTATAATAAACTAGACAGCATAAACTAAAACTAATAAAAAGAACATACACAGGTATATACGCGTAGACCGAATATTGCAAAATGCCAAAACTTTCCTTAATCTTTGTTTTAGTTTAATTAATTATTTAAATAAAATTATTCACAAGGGTCGTCTCAGTTCAACAGCCGATAAGTATTCGCGGTAGGGTTTATCGTTAAAAATCGTCCGTAATCGCCGTCGGTAAATTATTATCAGCAAGGCTGCATTTTAAAAACTGATGATCAGATGTTTCGTTATTTTATCTAATTGATATTATATAATATCCTTTTATTAAAAACCGAATAATTAAGGCAAAATCAGACGTGGTTAAATGGAATTCCAAAAAATTATTCATCGATTTAAGTTACGTAAGATTTTTATTATTTTTAATATGACTAATAAACATGCTAGGCTTTGGCCGCTAAATTTAATTTTTTATTTTTATAAAACAAATTAATTTTATAAAATATTAACGGGGTGACTGGCGATAAGAGTCGAAAAATTCAGGTGCTTCTAGTCACCATATTCCAATAAACCCCCTGAACAAATCTCAACGGTAAATTGCATTTTTTAAAAAAATTTTCAATTTAGGTCCACTAAATTGTTTCTAAACTTCAGAATTACTGACTGTAGAAAAATCTGGTTTGTGCCATCTTAAAGAACGTTAAATTTGCTGTAATGAAACCTATTTATATTGCAGAATGGATGAAAAAATTCTGCACGAAAAATTCAGAAAAACCAAAATGTAGAAATTTGAAATTTTCTTAAATTGATTGGTAACTGTTAATAACTACAAACTCCTGGAGCTTTGCAAATTCCCTCAAAAGTTCTCCATTCAGTTACCTTCCAGCGGTATACCCACCTTTTTTGATTGCGCTTCTGAAAGGCCCCAGAATTTTGAATTTTGTGAAAAAAACTGGTGTCGATGAAGGGGCGGCACGCTCAATTTTTCCAGACAATCCGTCTGGCTCTTGAGTTTCGTGTCAGTTCTTTATTACACAATTTAATCAGTTTGCTTTATGTTATCAGCTGACAAATTCCTCAGGTTGGTGATTTAAATTATGTCTTTGTTTCCTAATGCACATCTTGTTGATATGTATTTCATTTACGGTTACTGCAACGGTAATGCTACTGCTGCAAGGGAAGTATACCGAGCTCGTTTTCCTCATGGAGACGTTCCAGCAGATTGCACGTTCCAACGACTTCATAAGAGGCTGAGGGAAACAGGTTCTTTCTCTCGAAGAACGAAGGAAGACAATCAGCGAATTGATGTAGACGAGGAAATTTTGCAATTTGGTAATCGTGATCCCGAAACCAGTAAACTTGCGTTATATGTAGATCTTGGTTGCGAACATCTACGAGGGTGCGAAGTTTGGAAGCAGTGAGTTGATTTTTTCCTCATCTACATCAATCACCCTCGTTAAATGGTAAAGGTACATTCCTTACCGACGGAAGGTATCCAACCTCTCCATTGTGCAACACCAAGGTCTAATACATAACGCATCATAATTAGGGATTTAACTTTTTTTTTCTTGGCTGGGAAATTTTAGGTGGATGTTACAAATTTTCACGTATATGTACAGACGATAAACAGTCTGTATCTTGCAATTTGCAAACAGGGGATTATCGGATTTGACCCCGGCTATGATTTTTTATGTTTTTTTTGCAACATAAAGACATACTTTGAATTTCTGGAATTTCCTCATAGACAAATTCTGTAAGGTAGATGTGAGCGAAATAAGTAGACTGTGATATTAACATTGCTTTTGTATCTTATTCCAGTTTTAATTCCCTAATAATGTAAATGAGAGTTTTTTAAAAACTGAAAGAATATGGTCATTCTAGTATAGCTTCTGGTCGAGATGAAATCTCAAATATTTTTAACTGCAAACTTAAACATTTTTAATTTGTACACCTTTCTATGGTTTTATTTGAATTTAATGCAAAGGTGATTCCTTTCTGCAATTTCTCTTGTGTTTTACACATACCCCGCACTGAATCGATATTTTTGCGTCATCGGCAAACAATTAAGTTGCTGGTCACATTAGTGATTAATAGCGTCTAGAAAACAAATTGGGCTCGTAACAGAACCTTGTACACGACAAGTATGTGGGATCCGAAGTCCCACTATCTCTCACGTACCTCTCACGAGTATCCTGTCTTTCAAAAAAACTGTCTATCAACAACAGGTTTTTTGATCCATTCCATATTATTTCATTATCTCATTATCACTATCATGTGAAACATAATTAGAAGCTTTAAGGCAGATCATAGAATTCCATATTAATTTCATCCAAGAGGATGAACAATCCCATTTACAAAAGAATCTGCAGCATCATCAGTTGAAAGCCCCTACTTTTAGCATAATGTTCAACCTTCCAACGTTTCTCATCTATATAATTTACAAATTGGTCTTTTATTATAGTTGAAATTATTTTAGAAAATATAACAATGGCTATTGGCCTGTAATAGCTCACTTTATATTTTGTCCTTTTTTACATTAATGGCAGTAATATAGCTTTTTTTTGAAAACCTAGAAAACCACCAGTTAGATTGAAATAGTTTATTAATACGGTTAATGGGAAACCTCCTCGCCCAAAGTTTTGAAAAATCTTTTTGAAAAACCGAAAACGAGTTATTACTTGATCACAGTTATCAGGTACAAAGTGAAAGTGAAAATTATTTGCGTTGAGATTCTTTAAAGAATTCATACAAGTCAAATTTGACGTCCTTCTATATCTCCAAAATCTTGAGCCCTTAAATCACTTTTATTACATTTTTGTTTTGTTCATTATTAATGATCTTCCAAGATGCTTTGGATTTATTATTTGATTTACTTAGTATTCAGTTATTGCTTATTTTTTAGCCTGAGTATTTTTATTCTTATACAGTTTTTTTAAGAGATCTATATACAGTCAAGACGTAATTAAATGTGAGTTTTTCTTCATCATTACTAATTTACTATCTCTTATAGTCGTTTTTATTTGGTCCCCGAAATCGTCTTTAAAAATGTATTAATGTCTGATATATGTATTATATTAAAGCATTTTGAATTTATAATTTTCAAATTTTCCTGTAATCGATTTTAGCCATAGAACGGCTATTTTTGCCACAGAAAAACGGGTGGATCGTTTGTGCTGAAGTTCACACTTCAGCAGCTGAACACTGTTTACTTTACCGTTTACTTCCGTGGTAAAATAATTCTAATTACTCCGCAAATTGTTGTAACTCCTCAAAAAAAGGTATGAAGTTTTATCTTAAAACTTTGGAAAACTGTAAGGAGACTTTCGATGATTGGCAGTAGTTTGGCATTCAATCAATTTCCTTAAATAATACACTAAGACCGCTGAATATTAAGAAAGTATCAGATTGCTGAGAATAGCTTCATGCGGATTTTTCAAAAGTTTACGTCCTATAAGCTATGAATCTGAGCATGGACAAGCACTCCAGGTTATTTATTCAATACAGTCTCTATTGGGCGTCTTCGAGAAAGTATCAAACTGTAGCTTATTTATTCAAAGCATTCTCTGTTGGGAGACATTGAGAAAATATCAAACTGTTAAAAATAGCTTCGTGCGGATTTTTCAAAAGTTTAACGTCCTATGAACTCATTCAACTTTCCATAAAAACATTCAACTTCTATTCAATACATTCTCTATTGGGAAAACGATAAAACTTCGTACCTTTTCTTAAACGTAAAAAAACCTTCACCATTTTTGAAGTTTTTTCTGATTCAACTTAAGCAGAGTGAACGTTGGTTTTGCCGATTTTATAAGTATTTTGGAAAGTTTGTTAATTCAGTAATTCAAAAGCTCTTTCCCAGACTACACAAAGCTCATTTTTATGCTTATTGAGCAATAAATTTCGCAAATCATATTTGCAGCTTGACCATCTCAATAACCGATTGACGCTGTTCTGTCTGTCAGATGGCAGAAGACGGTCAAGCTGCTTGAATTAATTTTAATAATTTGACTTACCTTCCCAGAATCAGCATCTAATGCTAAAATGCTAGCATTACCGGTTTTACGCGGAGTTCTCAATGTATCGACAACACCCGAGTCGAGAACCCACAGAGTCCCTCTGGAATCCAGTTGCAAGTCGACGGCGTTGGCGATCAATCCGCTTTTGTGCGCTGCCTTGTTCGGAAAAGCGGTGAGTCCGCTTTGCGTCGCTTGTCCCAAGCTGAAGCTCTGTTTAGGCGAGTCCGACCTGTATTTTGGCAGAGTCAGAAATAGCGAATCCCCGTATACTTGTACCCTGGTCGGCAGGTAGAGGCTTTGCCGTTTCGCGACGTCCCCCAGGGCCCAGATGACGAAGCAGACGAGGGCCAAAGACCCGACGAGACAAGCCGAAGTTTTGTGCATGACTGAAGAGGAAAACTCCATCATCCCTCATGATATACCGGCCGCGTATTTCCAGGATCATCACGTCCATTCCTTGACCTGCGTTTGTCTCACGATTTATTTGTTTATTTTAAGGAGCACAACTCACCTTCAAGACACTCGTCGCTACCGAATTTTGTTTTTGAAAAGAACTAACCATAATAAAAACCATTTCAAATTAATAATAAAAGTCTTTATTTTTTTCATATTTACGTTTTGCAAATTTAGAAATAACGAATTTTATGTACAAATACTTCAATTTTCTGCAGAGTTAAACCAAACTTTGCATTATGGGTGAATTTCAACAACAAGACATATCTAAATTTTATGTTTTTAATTTATTTTAAGACAAATAAAAATCAAAACAAGCCCTCTTAATTAACTATAAATTTCTTCGGAAACGAAAATATTTATTCAATTAATTATCGATAACTGAGCTTGACTTTTAAAAACTATATCCAAGGCCGTCAACCATTAATTTAGTTCATATTCAGATTGACATGAAACAATATTTTTCTATTTTCTTTTATGTAAAGATAATTTGTAAAGAATGACCACCCCAGGCAAACTTCAGCAAATCCACCTCAATTTTCCAGAAAAAATGAGTACCTCACTGGACAGGTTAAAGTGTTCTACTCGTATATACCATTCTAGTAGTTCTGAACTCGAAACCGTCATAGACCATGGAATTAATAATTTTTTTAAAACAAATGTGTTATGTGGTTTGACCCCTTTTCTGGGTCACCCAACTGGTAGTTTTAAATTAAACCTTTCTGTTTAACAGGAATTAATTTATTTTAAAAAATCTTTAAATTATTGCAGAAGATGTGCCAATAATCTTGACCAATGAAAAGGAAAAAGATTCTGGGATATGGTCTCGTCTTTGTGCTACGGTTTCATCTACGTTCAGCGTGTTTTCTACACAAAATGATGATAAATCTTTAGAAGAGTTGTAAGTAACTGTACTTTGAATGTTGAAACAAGAAAGGTCATCATTTGGAAAATATTCTAGGCTCGCTGAGTTGAAGAAAGAAGAATTTATGCCTTGCTTTGAAGATCAGATGAAGTTTGACGTACCACAGGACCCACTGTTGTCCCCACTTTTAGCGAATGAAGACGTTTTGAAAGATTTCCCTCCGATTGCTTTATTGGTAATGCCATACATTCCAAGTCATAAATTGTTTTGAATAAATCTAGTAATTGATAATTTTTACTCATACTTTTTTTTTGCTACATTCTTTACCTTTCTACTTATCTTTGATCTGTTATCACAGGTTTAAGTATTTTGTTTGATTTGATCTGATTTTTAGACCACAGACATGGATCCATTTCTCGACGATTGTGTTGAATTTGCGAAGAAACTTAAAAAGTGCGGTAACAAAGTCCAGCTGGATATACTTCCAGGACTGTCACACGGTTTCCTCAACTTTGCTATGGTTTGTTTAAAATGTTAAACTCTTGGTGGGTTATTTTTGGGTATTTTATCATGTGTAATTATGTATGTTTTCTTTAGGTGAGCAAAGAAGCGAGTGAAGGTTCAAAAAGGTGTGCATCAATAATTAAAGATCTTTTACAAGCTGAATTGTGCAGTGGAGAAGAGTGCACGGATTAATAACACGTATTACCATCTGTGATGTTCCCAGATCTGGCAGTAATCAGTTGTTTATATTCAAAATGCCCTAGTCACATTAAAGTTGTAATTTAATTGTACTATTTTTTTTACTTTATTTTTTAGTGGTGCTAAATCTATTTATTATACTGTGCGATTATTTTAAAAAGTATTCTTTAATTTGGAAACTTTAACACTTTTGTTGTTACATTCTTTACCTTTCTACAAAACGATTTTCAATTATTTAGCTTATTAGTTTTTTTAAGAATATCTATAAAATATATTTTGATATCCAAAGTTTTTCATACATATATTTTTCTACTTAAAACCTTTTTGTTTTAATGAATGACTGATATATAAAAAGTTAATTTACCTCTTCAAGTTTATAATAATATATTTTTTATAGTTGTCTTTTTCCAATTTTCATTTTATTTTATCTATAATTCCAAGAGATAGTGTAATTTTTTTATGGTAGTATAAATAAAGTAGGAACTCTTGAATTGAAGTATGATGCTTGTTTTATTAATGAACAAATGGCACATATCTTACATATACTTCTTTAAATATAAATGTGTACCATTCCTTGAAACAACGGACTACATGCTTATTGTGATTTAAAAACAAAACCTTATTTATAGGTTATTGCTTCATAATTTTTTTTTTTTTAAGTTTTAAACAAGAAACTCATTGTATCTTGTTATTTTCCTAGCTGTTGGTTGTTGAGATTAAAAAGTCACTATTTAATTAAAATTATTCTTACATTCAGTTATTAATATATAAACATTATATGTAGTGAAATAGAAAAGGTAAATATGTTGGTGAATATAATGTGGGCCTCTTTATGTTGGTGGTGTGATTTTGTTCTATTTGTTTAGTTTATTATTATTATTAAATTATGTGATTAACAAAAAACATACAAAAGAGTTGAAATAATTAATAATTTATATGTTATTCCTTCCTTATTTTTTTTTATATTCAATTTCTGATATACCAAAAATCTCTATTTTTATGCTGGCCTAAAATTTAGCATGTTTCCATTTTGCTTTAGTAATTGTATTTCCTGCCTAGTTTGAATACATTTACAAATTTTTGTGCATTATTACAATGTACGAGTACCAATCAGATGTATTAATAATTAGCCATTTATTGTTGTTTATAAATTTTCTCTTTATTAAATTATTAAACATATTTTCATTTTTAAAAACACACACAAAAAGCAAGTTTATCAATTATTTGCTATGTGATTGTCATGTTTAAATATATATTGTAAACGTTATAAAATATTACTATTCATTGTATATTATAAGAAATGTTTTCTATTTAATATTCTACACCAGTATTTACAAATTGTATTATATGTTATTTATGAGATATTTTATATTTATTTTTATTGATTATTTCTAAGTGCACTTTCATTTGTAACCAACGAATTAATATTTTCTACTAATATTTTTACATTAAAACGAATGTTATTACTGTTTAAAAAAAAAAGTGTTCCATATTATTATAACTATAATTATTTGTTCTAACTCTTTAGAAGAGTAATATTTGTAAAAATAAGAATAAAAGCTGTTATATTTGAACAACTCTCAATTAAATATGGTCAGTGATTAAAGTTATCCTCTTATAGAACAAATACTGACTCAAAACAAAGCATTTAATTTGTATATGAATAATGTTACTGTAATTAAAAATAAATTGCGATTCTATAAATTTACTGATGTGTTTTTATGCTTGTTTGCAATCAAAGGGAAGATGTTTTATTGATTTACAACCAATGCCTTGGAAACATTAATTTTTTTTTAGCTTTATTTATTTATTTTTTTTTTTTTTTAACAAATCAGTGATGGTTATGTAATTTTATAATTACTGAACACCATGAAAACATACCTGAACCAACAAATACTGAAAAAACCCAAAAGATCAAATCAACAAAATCAAAGACATACAAATTACATGTACCATGAAACTATAATAATATCGTTAGACATAAATCTATATTCGTCGTTACCAATAATGGATGGCATATATTTTTTTGTGCATTATACAGACAACGGAGAACAAAATTACTTTGACTCTAATGGTGATAAGTAAGCTAATCGCTTGGTAATAAGAGAACATTTAGCATATGTGCATTATGTGCTTAACTATTATTTTTGTGAGGGAAGGTTAGGTTCCAATATACAATAGACCACAGAGATATATTCGAAAACATTTATTGTTACAATTGTCGCTGTTTGAATGCTCTTGTCTGAGTCCTCGGGTTGACTGAGTCCTTGGATCGTCTAACAAGATGATTAATTTTTTTAAAAATTATTAACTCAATGTTGATCATATCTTGTTTCTATAATTTACCGATCAATGTGGTCTCCGTATCCTCTCTGTGGACGGGATGTGTTTCAGCATTGTGCAAGCATCGGTAGGAAGGAGGGAGATAGACGAGGACAATTGTTAATGACAAAATTACAGGTTTATCACCCCGCAGACCAATCTCATAATATATTTTTTTTACTGAAAAATCTTTTTTGGAAATTAACTGAATTTGTTTCACAGTCTCAATAAATCATTGCTGACTTCCAAAAAGCATATCTGAAATTGAAATATTAGTATATTTTCAGGCAATTACTAAAAAGTATTTTATTTTAAGTGATCCTATACAAAACACTGGTATACAAATAAAATGCTCATTCAAAAATTAAACTTATGAACTAGTAAAATAATTAATACTGTTTATTGAGTTAGTTTAAGAAAGAATAAAATATGTGTGTGAAAGTGAAGTGAATTCAGTTGTATTGTTACATTAAATTTAAGAATATAAGATGGGGCTTTGGTGGTTTAGATGTCACGGTGCTCATCAGTGTAAGGAAAAGGTCCGAGGTTCAAATCCAGTGGCCCTGCATTTACTTGTGAATGGCCGTTTTTTTAAATACACTGGGTCTCTGAGGGTTCAAATATATATAGCCATAATAATATAAAAATATAACCAAGAATATAATTAAAAAATATAACTATATAATATATTTTAAAAAAAAATTGATTTTCTTGTTGATGCTATAATACTGTTTTCCGATGACAGAATTGTAATATTGTAGTATAATTCGAGAACATTATCTCGTTTTCTGTTGGTGTTTACTGGCATAAAGCCAGGATGTCCTTTTTAGACGGCATGGCTGAATTTATCATGAACCAATAACGCTATCAAAAAATACGTCTTTAATATTTTTTAGTCTAGATTCAAATTTTTACCTTTTTTTGAAGAAAAATGATAAACAACTATGTCATTTTTTGACCGATTTAAAATCCGATTGCATCATTGTGTTCAGCGTAAAAAATTCTTTAAAATGATGTTTCAGGATGCATAGGGTCTTATTTGAAATTTTGAAGTTGAATAATTGGTTCTAGGACGCTTCCCTGGTGAAGATCAGCTTTCATCTCTAAAAGAGTTTTTGGACTATTATTGTTTATGTTTAAGCCAGACTCATTGGCTTTAGGTACAACCAGAAACAATTAATATTCAGTTTTTTTAAATTGTAACAGTAAAGATCATAACAACCGCGTGGGGCCAGTGTTTTTGAAAAAAAAAATGTATTAGGTTCAAATTAGGACCAAGAAAGGCAAACAATGATTCAACTAGAAATGTGAATTTTTTTAAATAAATTATTTTTTGTAAGAAAATGTTTAAAAAACAAATCCTTACAAATTATAATTTTATATAAATAATTGTAACCAAATGAAGAAAATGTACAACAACAAACACTGGAAAATAGTAGCAAAATTTTTGTCCACAAAATTATTATGAGGTTACAATAAAAATAATGTACATTTTCAAGGTAAAAGGGAATGAAAGAGAATGGAATGCAGATTTACTGTTTTGCTATTAATTAGTTCATAATTTATATTATAGAGTCAATTAGACTGATCTTATTTATTATCTCTTATAATGATCTTATTTTTGTTTTGCAGTCTCATCAAAAGTATGTGAATATTTAAGGAAGAATAAAATGGCCGGATTCTTTACTATATGCGGCTATTTACACGTGGGCATTATCTTTTGTGTAATCTACTACATGAAAGAGGGAAAAGGTCAAATAATGTCAACCTTCGAACACAGACCGGTAGATTATTTTGCTTTTCTAGGCCATGGAAAACGCAGATTGTGTCACCTCGGTAAAGGACGATGAAATATAAGTGAGATAGGCAAACGAACAAAAAACACAAAGTTTCTCATTACGTCTCACTCTCGAGAAATTGTGGAATATTTTCCTTCTTCTTTGAATCTTTTCCTATTTCAGCTGTTATGAGTGAAGGCTAGGTTGTAATTTTACAATGTTTTCATGTAATAAAAATAGTAATTGAGGAAGACTATAAGCAATTCACTAGTTTTCGTGGTCCGCTTGAACAATTAATATCTTTCAATTAATTAAGGTTTTTAGTTGAGATAAAATGCCACTGTCTTTTTTATCTTAACTAAAAAGTAATTGGAAGACTATAAGCAATGGCAATTTGGTCACAGCAGGGCGAGCGGACAGGCAAAATTGGCAAAATATGACCAACAATGACTATTTTTCACCTATAGCTTAAATCGTATATAAATAATCAGGGATAAGGCGAATGTGAAAGAATGAACACTCATTTTTTCGTCAAGATTTTGAGGAACACTGACGAATTTTTTTTTTTTAATCACCTTACAGGTACTATCCCAACTAGTGAAGTCAATCACATATTGCACTATTTAAGATTATTTAAATTCATTATATTTCGTGTTCTGATTGACCAAATAACTTCTTTCAATTAATTAATCTTTATGTAAGGTATTGGTTGAAATAAAAAAACCAGATTCACGAGCGGGATTCGAACCCACAACCTTCGGCTAAATAAGCCGCTGTTCTACCACTTGAGCTATCGTGACTTATATCCACTCGGACTTCCCATCTCAACCTATATTTCGAATTTTCCCTCCTTTTTGCCATTTTTCAGATGGGAAGTTGGTGTCCGAGTGGATTGAAGTCACGATAGCTCATGTGGTAGAGCAGCGGCGTATTTAGCCGAAGATCGCGGGTTCGAATCCCGCTCGTGACACTGGCTTCTTTATTTCAAC